ACATGGGGTTAGTATCTTGCCCAAGGATATTTGGCATGCAGCCAGGAGGCAAATAAATTACATTTGTTTTGCAATGAGAAACAGGAGAAGTAAGAGTATGGATGTGTGAGTTCCTACTAACAGCAACACTCACATACAGTGTAAATTATGAAGCTGCTGACACGTTTTCTTGTTGTAGTTCCATCTGCTGCACTGTCCATACCACCGTCCAGTACAACTGCAGAACCTCAGGCATCATCAGCCGATGGTACAAAACAACTATAATGTTTTTCATATAATTAAATGTTCTGTTTATTGTGTCTAGAGTAAAAAAATGTTTCCATTACTCTTTTCGATTACTATACCTGTAGGTGCAGCCTCAAGTGTGAAGAGGAAGTCACCTGCGCCCCTCCCACAGGAGCTGGCATTTCTACTAAAGGAGACCACAGGTCAGTGAAACAGAAAGGTCTGAGTCAAATCCTGGTCCCTCTCTATTTTCATTTACAGTTGATGTTCAGTTAAACGTCTGCTTAAAGCATAGATCATTAATGATAGCATATTATTCACGCTCAGGTTACATTTTGTCATCTTGCTCATAATTTGCACAAATGAATTACAGAATGACTGCATTCATTTGTTTCAGGACCGAGTACAGATGCTGCTTCCACATCTGTGTTCAAAGTGCTGACTTTTGAAGACAGCAGTGAAGATGGTGAGCGTATACTGCATGTCTTTTATTTTTTTCTGTGTATTCCAACAGTAACAATATAAGAGTAGCACTGTTTTGTCAAATATTTACGTTTCAATCCCAGATCCTTCAACTCAGCCAGCTGTTCCAGTTCCAGTGGCTGGTTATGAGTATGACCTCAGCAGCTGGAATTGTTCTCCTCACCAGCAGCTGTGGATGAAGACTGAGCTTCAGGACCTTGGACTGTGGCCTGGGTCTCGACCAGTGCGTCACGCAGGGAACGCGACTTCACTCTGGCGTCTCCCTCCACAGCCTGAGCTCATAGATACAGTGGCTGACCTACCATCGCCAATTTTCTTCCAGCTCCACCCCTTCTTCAGCCTTCTTCTCCAACCTGAGAGTGTTAGTGCTATCATGGTCAGGTTAAGAAACAATTATATCTTGCCATGTCTCCATGATTGCTTTGGTTCACAAGTGGTCTCTGCTGGTGTGGGCAGGCCACGAGTAATTGTTGGCACCAGTGGTCAGTATTACATCCTGTCCTCACGACTCTGCTGCAGGGCTTGTCGCAGGAACTGGTTTGCTGACAATCCACGATGGCTGGAGAAACTGCCCAAAAGGTTTACCAACCTTCTCCCTGCTTTTCTTACATATAAAAAGGCCATCTGCAAGTCTGTTATGGATAAGCTCAGGAGGACTGGGAAATCTCCAGCAGATATGGCAAAACAATTAAATGAACTCATGCACCTCAAGTACGAGCGAGCTCCCCTGGCGTACCTCCATGCCACAGAATCGGTCTGGGATTCTGAGGCAGGAGCCCATGGACAGAGGACCATTGGGAAGTTCCTGAGGAAGGAAAATAAGCCACAGGAGTTCAGGTCTTATGAAGACCCACATGCCTGGTGTGGTGTTTCTGTGTCCAGCCATTACCTGACTGACTGCCTGCTCAACGAATTCCGACGTCAACATCCAGTCATATCCAAACTCCTCCAGGCCACATCTTCAGGTCTGACCACACCAGGAAGGTGGCACGAAAAGTCACGCTGGCATCTGGGGTCATGTCCAGTTATTACATAATGAATGAAAACTGGCTGAGTGTTTCGTGGGTCATGGTTCAGTCTGAGACAGAAAGGTCTCAGACTGAACCATGTACCAGGGAATGGCCAAAAGGTACAGTGATGCAGGAGTGGAAAAGGCCGGCTACCACTGGTACCAGTGGACCCGTTCCACTGCCTGAGGCGAGTGGAGTGTACCTCTGAGCATCATCCTCTGTTCAGCACTTTCTGCCAGCTTCTCTCTGCTGCATTCTCAGTGGTTGATCAGGCGGACCTGAAGAGGCTCCAGGATGCTTATAAGTTCTGTGGCATCCATGCTGCTAATCCCACAAAGCAACACATATGGGAGCACTGCAGGATCCAAATACCACAACCCACTGAGCTGCTGAACAGAGCGGAAAAGATCCTGAATCATTTTCACCTGGCCACAGACCCCAACAATGTCCCACTCTTCAAGCCATCCATGCTGAAGACGTGGTGCATTCAGAGAGTCCACATTCTGCGTGGCTGCATCAGTGACCCTGAACTCTCAGAGGGTGTAATGTTTCGGTACGGTGGGACTCTTCAGCTTAACCATGTCCCTGGTGAAGGTGCCAAGGTCCCCATCTGGATTCCTGTCCGAGGCACTTCACAGCAGGAGGGTTATCATTTCCACCAGGCCCAGTGGATTACCGGGACTCATGTATCCAATGAACTATTCCAAGCCCAGGGCACGACAGGGGTGGCACGATGGAACTACCAAAGACTGGTGGACCTTAAGCAGCCAGGTGTCATTCTCCCTTCTGTTTTTGATCCAGCTCTAGTGGTGGAGTTGAATGCAGCCTCCAGAAGAGTGACTGATCAGGAGAAGTACCCTGCACTTCACCTCTCTGACAGAGACACTGGAGAGCGATTTGGGCTTGAACACAGAGAGCCAGGCTGCCGTCCAGTCCCTCTGAACTGGGACAAACACAAAACCCTGAGAAAAGATGAACCGGCTGCCCTTCAGCCCCCATCCTCTGTTCCAAAACCTGTGGCTGCCCAACTTCAGGTTCCAGCAGCAGGACCCTCCTCCAGCCTGGCACCGCTAGGTGTGGCATCCCCCACACCAGCACCACCTGTCACCCACCCTTTCTCTGGTGCACTTTTAAAGCAGGAGTTAGCATCAGAAGACACCCAGCAACCTACAACAGTCATGGGTAAGTTAACATAGTGGTATTGTCAAACAATTCCGTGTACTTACTATTATTAATATTAATGTATACGTTATTATTATTAGTTCATTACATGATATATGAGTAACTATTATTAATGTTTCCCAGAAATCTCTGAAGCTCTACCTCTGCCGATGCGGGCCTCACCAAGGAGTGCTCGCACTGGACCTATAAAGACAGGTGGACGGGTTTTTGTGCTGGACCACACATGCTGGACACGACCCATGAAAGAGGCAATAGATGATCTGTTGCAAAAGTACCATGGGAAGAAGGACATCCTGAAGCTTGTGGATCAAGATTATGCAGACATGGTCCATCACTCGGCTACAGATCCCAACAGCCTGCTGCGTCCCACATCCAAGGTGCACATATCCTGGTAGTTGAAGCACTTGGCTAAGCTTCTCAACACCAATTCATCTTTGAACATAAGCCCAGAAAAACTTCTGGAGACTCAGCAGCTGTGGCACTCTTTAACTGAAGGCAGTGAAACAACTAGTGTCCCTGTAATCACCATAGAGCCTGCCGCGTTTAACCCACCTCCTCCTGCCCCGTCTACACCACTGACACAAGTCTCAATAGAGAAGATTGTGGACGGCATCTTAGAAAGGCAACAGCAGCAGCAGCCACAGCAGCAGCCTGAGGGGAAAAAGGGCAGACAAAGACTTGTCTTGCCTGTGGACAGCCCAAGTCTCAATGTGAGACAGATTGATCCACCGTCGATTATTTTTACCAGAGAGGGCCTGTGCGCTATTTCTACAGTTCCCACAAGGTGCATCAAACTTATGCTGCTGAGGGAATCACTAACCCTAAAATGACCTTTGAGGAATTTGCCCAGACAGACTTTTTCCAAAGGGAACTGGATGCTACCAGGAAGAGGTCAGAGGAAAGGATGGAGAAAAAGAGCAAAAGGCCAGAAACCCAACAGACAGGCCGCCTCTGCAGGTTCTGCCACATGGACCTGAAACAGGGCCCAAATAGCTCACATGTTCACACAGGCTTCCCTGGAGTGGCAGGGAAATATATCTACTGCCCTTCAAAAGTGCACTCTCTGCCCGGGCACAAGGGCTTGGCCAAGGGGATGACCTGGAAGGAGTTTCAGGAGTCTCCTTTCTATGAGGCAGAGAGACAAAGATGGGTGGAAGAAAAGAGGAAATAGGGGAGAAACTGTTGATATTGTACATAATATAGTTTTGTTCTAGTTTTGTAATGTTTATTTTGTTTATATAAATAAAAAATGATTGTAAATATAAAAATGTGAATAAATTGTGTTCTTTAAAAATAGCAGCACAGCTCTCTTCTTTATAACCTCTTAGAGTTCACCTGTATGTTTATATACCTGTGTGTGCTCACCATCAGGTAATCAGTTTTAAAAAGCTGTGAGTGCTGCCCTGAAAGCTTACATATTATTTCTAAATCACTTCATGTAATGATAACAAGCCATCCTTTCTCTAGTGGGGTCTCACAGCTTTTATCTTTATAATCTTTCTGGTTGATTTATATCATTAGAAACATGACTGCTGTCTTGTATCTGTGCGACTGTACAGCCTATTTCAGACATGACAACCAGACAGTGTCTGAAGTTATCTTTAATGCATGAAACACAGCTGGAGATAGTCCAGACACTTTCTCACTGATATTTTTGGTTTAGGTATTGTTGCTTTCTGGCTTGAAGCTTATCTACAAAAGCAGTTCAATAAGGAGAGATCATGTGGAAAAACCGAACATGATTTATTGAGATACAGAAATAAATGTAACTGTTAGGAAGTTAGACTCCAATGACCCATCATAGCAGAAGAAATCTCAGCAGTGACAGGATTTTACACAAGCCACACCCCAGAGTCGAAATGCTGGTAGTGATGAAGATGGAAGCTGGGACAGGGTTCTGAGTGACCACGGTGAGGAGGAGAAAGGAGAGGGGGCGGGCTGCATGGCTGTGGATCTGAAACACAGAATGGCAGAAGCAGAAGACCAACAGATTTAAAGCATGCAGAGTGGAGGCTGAGTTGCTCGGAGAAGATCTCTGTCTAAATAAATAAATCTGGGTAAATTCCCAGATGATTAAACATGCAACTATTTTGTTGGTAATAACTGAAATGAGTAAAGAAAATCAACAGCCTATTTATG